CTCTTAGATCTAGGGAAAGACACATGAGAATCTCCAAAGAATACTGTCTACAGATGCTGAAAGGAGACAAGAACCTTTCTTCTAAGCTGGTGTTAGGAATTTGGACTTCTAGCCTCAATGTAGGAGAATACATTTCTGTTTTTCAGACCCATCTACTTGTGTTATCTTTGTAATAGTACCACGAGTTAAATAAGAAAAGTAGCCTTTTGCTTACTGCTCAGGCATCTTCAAGAAAGTGACAACTGTCTTATCCAAGTCTAATGCCAAATTATCTTTAGTTTTTTTTGTGTTTTTCTTTTCAAAAACAATGTTCTACATATAGCTGGACTTCCTCTATCCCATTTAGTATATGGGCCAACCAATAAGCTCAAGCTGATAAGCACCAATAAAAATTTTTAATTTTTAATTCCTTAGCAAATTGAGGAGTCCTGGTGTGATGCTGTGGGTTAACGTACTGTACTGCAAAGTTGGTTTGAACCATGAGGTCAGTGGTTTAGGCTCACTAGCCGCTCCTTGTAAACCCTATACAGGGTCACTATGAGTTGGAACCGACTCGACGGCACTTAACAACAACACCAAATTTAAAGGATCCCCCAAAGACTTTTGGGAAACCCTTTACTTATTTCAGTGTGGGTCCAAGAGACAAAGGTACAGCTCATTAGGAATTTATCTGGGTGAATTTTAAAAGGCATTTCATGTCAAGATTTATCTTCCCTTTCTAGTTCTTTAAGATAGAGAGGGAGTTTAGGCAAAGTGTTAGTAGGGGAGTAAGAAAGAAGAGAAGGGTAAAGGGAATTGGAGTCCATAGAAGGGTTGTCAATCTTTAACTTATTTGTTTAATTTGGAAATTTTGCCTTGTAAGGAAACAACCTTTCTGTCCTGCTGCTGTTTTGAAGCTTCCAGATACCAGTAAAAAATGTGCCCCATTAAGTCTGTTAGATTCAAGAGCCGTATTTTTAAAATTTACTGCACCAAAATTAATTTAGTCAGAGAAAAAGATCCCAAGGGTGGCCATTGATTATGTAAGTTTTCTCAAGTAAGACCATGGCAATAATTTTAAAATGAATGAATTATGAAACAAAATGTTGGTTCATGTAAGTGGCAGAAGTCCCCAAAGGAAAATCTTCATTTTCAGATTTGATATTATCTATTTTCTTGCAAGAATTCAGCAAAAGTATACTCAGTGGGTTAGGAAAAATGGCTTCAAGGGTTATTAATTTTGTTTTCTCAGAGTTCAAGTAAGTAGAGATTCTGAGACTCATTACAGTAACCCCTATAATTTAGTGCCAAATTGTGTACCAAAAGTCCTAGGTCAAACAAACCTTAACCCAAACTTGCATGTAGAAAACCTTGATCTATATCAACAAGTAGATAAAAAGTGAAAATGCAGACAGAATTCTCAATAAAACTTACAATGCTCTCTATGCAATAACATGGAGTTCAATATGAAAGAAATTATGTGAGATAACTCCCAAGGAGGTTTGGGGAGATGGGAGAACTCAAAGGCTTTGTTGTTACTGAGCCCAAATTTTGGAACTTCCATGGGGTCATTGGAGGCAACATCTTTCAGATTCTATTATGTCTGACACCAAGAAATATAAAGGTTCCTCATGGAGTATGCTTAGAGTAAACGCAAAAAGTTTTATTGAGAGAGAAAATAATTTGGGAATTAGGAAACACAAGGTTGAAAGGCTCTCAACACAGTGCTCTGAAGAGCAGAGTGCAATGTGTTTTATAGAACAGAGAAAACGTGTGTGTGATCAGAATCAAGGCATGTAAGAGTAGCATTTAGCTTTAAGACAATAAATAACCTGCTGCCATTAAGTCGATTGTGACAGAGTACAACCGTTTCATAGGATTTCTAAGACTGTAAATCTTTACAGGAGCAGACAATCACACACTTCTCCTGAGAAGCAGCTGGTAGGTTTTGAACCACTGACTTTGTGATTAGCAGCCCAATGCTTAACCCACTATACCACCAAAGCTCCTTTGTAAGACAGTTGTTGTTAAGTGCTGTCTAGTCAGTTCCAACTCATAGCAACCCCCTGTATAGGGTTTCCGAAGAGCAGCTGGTGGCTTTGAACTGCTGACCTTACGGTTCACAGTCCAGTGCTTATCCTACAGGGCCACATCAGAACAACAACAACAACTTGTCTGTAAGACAGTAGCAAGTTAAAATTCTCCAAGGTTAACGGTTAGATTTCCTGTAGTCAGTCTAGCAAGAAATCTTCTGCTACATATACATTGTTTATGCTGTGCAAACATTATCTCAAGACCCTCTGGTTAAACATTCCCTGGAAAACATTTCTTCCCAAACCACATTTTTGCTTCCTTCATAGTTCAGAGTGGTTTAAGTTTCATTGTTTGTTACAGTTTCCCCATTGGCTCTAAAGGTTACTTATCTAGCAGCACACATTGGAAACTTACAGACAAGAGAGGCTGCAATTTTATGTTGAAATCAAAATGGAATCTGACTTTAGATAAGAACAGAGCTTTTTCCTACTAGACAGGCACCTCAGGTATTAATTTTAGGTGCTGTTATACAGGGTTGCTATGGGTCAGAACTGACTCCACAGCACTTAACAACAACATTCACTTGCAGTCATGTATCAGTTTATTAACATGTTACTTGTGTTTGGAGGGAAATTTCAAACAGGAAAATCTCCCAAACAAATGTACATAACGGGTCACTGCCAGAGCCCTGCAATAAATACTGCAACCAGCGGGGGCAGCAGAGGCAGACAACTCTTTGATAATTTAAAGCAGCAGTCCATCATTTTGGCCATTAACTCATCCCAGTGTCTTCACTCTGGGTGTTGCAAACAGTTAGTGCACTTACTGTTATCCAAAAATTGGCAGATGGAGTTTATCCGGGGGTACCTCAGAAAAACAAAAAGACCTGACAATCTACTTCCAGAAAAATCAGCCACTGAAAATCTTATGGAACACAATTCTACTTTAATACACATGGGGTCTCCAAGTCCAACTGGACTTCACAGCAATTGGTACTCTTTTCTTAAAAGGCAACAGAAGAAGAAATCGTGGGTGCTGCTCCTTCCCAAGAGTTGGAAGTCCTTTAAAGCAGACAGGATATCAGCATCCTTTTGAAAATCTCCAGCTCTATCTTCAGACCACTTGTCTCTTTCCCTTTAAGTTGGAAGCAGGGAAATTGTACAACATCATTACAAGCGCCATTTCAGATTTCCTTTTAGCCCAGTTTTAGAGTAGAATATAAATTCCGTGAAATGCCACAGACTTCTGGTTTTCTCCCCGACACACGTTGGCAGTCACCCTTTCTGGAAAGTGCAAGAGGATGCTTTGGAGCAATGAGGTATCCTTAGCCGGGAAAGAGGCAGTCTAGAGTACAAGAACTGATGATGCTTAACGCTGGAAAGAAGTGTGAATACTGTATTTACATTTAAATTAAAATGGAAACTTCATATAGGTTATGCTTCTGAAAGGTGTGTGGGGTGCATCTGCTGAGGTCTATTGTTTATTCATGCTGTAAATCCTTTGAAATGTGTTAAAATGCTTTCCACTCATTATAAAGCGCCTGCCACCCCTGGATTACGACTTTGATGTCACCAATCCTGCTTCAAAGGGTTCTTTCTAGGCTATTAATCACAGTTTAGCCTCTGAAGATATCGCCAGAGAAAACATTTGGACATCTTTGTGCTAGGCTTGCTATAACTTTGAAATCTTGAGTGTCTTGCATATGCACAAATTGTAGCATTTCCTTTCATTGACAACTTTTTAGTTTGTTACAGAATCAAATGGCACTGTAGGTAAATATGTAAGCAAATCTAAAAAATCTCTTCACTGGGTTTTGTGGGGCAGGGAGTGTGAAAGGTTGTAGAAGGATGAAGAGTCTGAGACCAGGCCACTTAGGCTCTTCAAACATACAGAGTGGAGTGGCCACTGTATGTGTGAAGTTCAAAGGGTAGTTGCCTTATTTTTTCTGTTCTTCATTAGTTGAACTATTTACACTAACCACTACTCATGATAGCAAATTGGTAAAATTCCTTGGTCTTATCTACTGTTCTCTACTCTGAGACTTGCATGTAATAATAGTAATACTAGAAAGAAATAGTAGCTAACATGTGGCGACCTGGTGGCATAGTGGGCTGTTAACCTCAGAGTCATTGGTTCGAATCCACCAGCCACTCAGTGGGAGAAAGATGAACCTCAGAAACCCTATACAGGGTCAGTGTGAGTAGACATCGACTCTACAGCATTTAACAATGAGCTGCTAACCTCAAGGTCAACAGTTCAAAACTACCAGTTACTCCATGGGAAAAAGATGCGGCTTTCTGCTCCCGTAAAGATTTACAGCCTCGGAAACCCTGTACAGGGTCGCTATGAGTCAGAACCAAATCCATGGCACATCACAACAACAATATGCAGTGTCACTTACCCAGCAGTCCTGTGTTAACAGTGCTTTCTGTGAATCACCTCCTCGAATCCTCAGGGCAACAGATGGAAAAGCTGAGGATGACTAAGAAGCTCATTAACTTGTTCAAGGTCACACTCCTCCACCCTTCCCCTCTGCAAGCAGCAAACCTCCCTGTCCCCCAGGACTCCTCACCCCCTGCCCTGCTGGTGCAGGGGCGGTGCTGTGGCCCTCCCCTCATGCTGAGGGATCCTTACAGACTGATCAGCTTGTCCAACATTTCCCTCAGAAAGCGCCTGTCAGCATCTTTTTTCTTGCATATTGATCTTTTTCAATGACCTGCAGTGCTTTAGTTAGACACATCTATTGTTTCTTTTTCACTTATTAAACTCATTTTAATGCAGGGTCTCTTTGAGTCTGAACTGACTACACAGCAGTTAACACTACGTATTTGCATTAGAAATTTTATGATTGTATTTTTTTAAATTTTCCTAGTTCAGAGCAGATCATTGGGAAACTCAGAAAAATAAGATCACAGAGAGGAAAATCATTCAGAGTCCTATTCCTTAACTTTTCCTTTAGTTTATGTTCTTTGTTCTCACTTACATAGGTAACTTGGCCCAAACCAAAGCCAGGATAGCAGCAGCCTCACGGTCTTTACCTCCACATTTCAGTGCTGGGCGAGCCAAGGTGAGTAGCAGGTTTGTACCTAAATTGATGTGGGCCGGGAGAGTGCTCCAGTCCTTGGCATAATCCTAGTATGGGCAATTTTAGTTGACTTTTTCAGGCCCACTATTGGGCAGTCTAATAAAGATATCCAATGAATTTAGGTAGAATATTGTTGTTATTGTTAAGGCACTTAGGTCAGTTCCAACTTATAGCAACCCTATATAGGTTTTCTGAGAAGCAGCTGGTGGGTTTGAACTACCAAGTTACGATTAGCAATCCAGTGCTTACCCCACAGTGCCACACCAGGACTCCAAATGGAGATTGTTGTTGTTAACTGCCATAGAGTCATCCGACTCATAGCGACCCTGCATAGGGTTTCCAAGGAGTAACTAACTGGTGGGTTTGAACTGATGATCTTGTGGTTATAGTGCAGTGCGTGTCCTACAGCACCACACCAGGACTCTAATTCGATGTTGTTGTTGTTGTTAAGTGTCAATGAGTTGGTTCCGACTCATAGCAATCCTGTATAGGGTTTCCGAAGAGTTTCCAGTTCCGAAGAGACCCTGCTAAACATCACTCAGAAGGGTGGAACAGTTGAAAGTATTTTGCAGCAGATTTTGATTAACCTTATATCCCTTTCCCAGACAAGCACACAACTCAATTTTCAGAGATTTCACATTTCTAACCTGCTGTGGCAGGTTAGAAATATGAGACCTCATCATGAAATTTTTACCATCCTGTTCTTCAGAAACACCACAGAACAAGAATGCTTGAAACATACATCCCACCTAGGAAGACAAAAAGCCTCTTCCCTGAGATTGTTGCCAATCTCCGGAACACTGGTGGCATTTGGGATAATCACTAGACTGCTAACCTCAAGGTTGACAGTTCAAACCCGCTAGCCGCTCTGTGGGAGAAAGACGAAACTGTCTGCACCCATAAAGATTTACAGCCGAGCTCTGGTAGCATAGTGGTTACGAATCGGGCTGTTAATCTCATGGTCAGCAGTTTGAAACTACCAGCTGTTCCGCAGGAGAAAGATGAGGCTTTCTGCTCCTGTAAAGATTTACAGCCTCGGAAACCCTGTACAGGGGTCGCTGTGAATCAGAACCAACTCCATGGCACATAACAACAACAACAACAAATCCCTATAAAGGAGTCCAGGTGTGGAACTGTGGGTTAATGCACTGGACTGGAAATTTGGTTTGAATCACAAGGTAGGTAGTTCAAGCATGCCAGTTGCTCATCAGAAACCCTTCCCAGGGTAGCTATAGGTCAGAACCGACTCAGTGGCACTTAACAACAGCAACAACAATTCCTATAAAGGAGTCCTGGTGTGGCTCTGCAGGAGCTAGACAGCAAGGTTGGTTTGCACTGCGAGGTCGGCAGTTCAAGTTCACCAGCTGCTCCTTGGAAACCCTGTACAGGGTTGCTATGAGTCACTTAACAACAACAACAATCCCTATACAGCATCACTCTGATTAAATGGCGGTGGATTTGTGTTGGTTTTTAACTGCCAAACTTAACAACAACAGAAAGGTTGCCAGTCAAGAGGTCTCTGATTCATGGTGACCCCATGTGTGTCAGAGTAGAACTGTGTTTCTTAAGGTTTTCCAGAAGTAGATCGCCAAGTCTTTTTTCTGAAGTATCGCAAAACCCAACTATTTAGTTACCAGCGGAGTTGCATTAACCCTTTGCATCACCAGGGTCTCCATCATGGACCTATAGATACTAAAAGGAGTCAGCAGAGAGGACAAAAAGCAAACTGTCTTCTTTTGACTCTGCTTTGCCCTCTGAAAAATAAGTTGTATGCTTGTCTATGAGACGGGGATATAAGAAGGTTAATAAAAATCTAGCTGTAACACATTTTTAACTGTTCCACCCTTCTGGCTGATGTTTAGCAAGAGTCTCAAGGACTGACTGGTTAATGCTCATTGTAAATACTAGCACCAAAAAACACAACACCCAATTGTCTTGAAGGTGATAGTATAAAAATAATCAAATTACATCTCTGAATTTTCTTACATTTTAACATTTAGTATTAAATAATTTATTTCATGAAGAAGTGGCTCAACCACATATAATTGTGGTGTTGTTGTGAAGTGCCATCAAGTCGATTCCGACCCATAGCGACCCTGCACAGGGTTTCCAAGGAGCAACTGATGAGCTTGAACTACCGACCTTGCAGTTCAAACAACTTTGCAGTATTACACATTAGCCCACAGCACCACACCAGGACTCCATATATAATATTATAGAATAATATCCCAGATTTGACACACACAGGCTGTTGCTGTTGTTGCTAAGTGCGGTTGAGTTGGTTCCGACTCATCGCGACCCTGTCTGTATAGGGTTTCCAAGGAGTGACTGGTGGACTTGAGTCAGACCTTGTGGTCCAGTGCTTATCCAGGACGTGCCACGCCAGGACGTACAGGCTTCTCTATCCATATTTCCCCTGAGACTTACCTTATAAGCATTCAAATTATTTTTGTTAACCATAATTTTATACCTACATTGCTATTAGAATCTAATGTTGTTGTTGCTGTTAAGTACTGTCGAGTTGGTTCTGACTCACAGTTTCCAAGGAACAGCTGGTGGGTTTGAACCACTAACTTTGCAGTTAGCAGTCCAGTACTTATCCAACACAGCCACACCAAGACTCCAGAATCCAGTGTAATACTTTGCTTTTCAACTTTGCTGCTTTGACCAGATGTTAGGCATATTTAACTTGGAGTACTAAGGGTAACTATGAGACAAAACAGACTCCATAACATTTATCAACATGGACCCCTAAAAGAAATTTACTTACATAGGCATATCAGCAGTTCTTCTGAAAATCAGTCAACAGAAATCCTATGGAAACAATATCTGATCTGCAATTGATTATGAGGATAGTCCAGAGCCAGGCAACATTTTGTTTCATTGTTCATGGGGTCAACTTGAGTCAGGCCTAACAACCATCAATGGCTCTGAGAACCTTTTGATATTACATACACAGTTTTGTTTGTGTTGAATAGTATGTTTGTCAGTGTCACGGGCTTCTACCCAACCATGTCAACCCATATTGCTCACTTCTCCAGTTACATTTTTGTACTAGTGGGCCCTGTCAGGACCTGTTCACCTGCACACCCAGAATACCTGCCTTCCAGAAAGGAGCTCTGGTAGTGTAGTGGTTACGAATCAGGCTATGAACCGCAAGGTCAGCAGTTCAAAACTACCAGCTACTCCGTGGGAGAAAGATGAGGCGTTCTGCTCCCGTAAAGATTAACAGCCTCGGAAACCCTGTGCAGGGTCACTATGAGTCGGAACCGACTCCACGGCACACAACAACAACAACAAGAGCACTACTCAGTCCCTGCCCAAGTGACAAGTGTGTCCTCTAGCACTGAACTGCAAGGTTGGCAGTTCAAACCCATCAGGTGCTCTGAGATGAGACCAAGATTTCCAGTCTTGACAACCCCCCATATGTGGTTGCTGTGAGTCAGAACCAACTGAATTGCAGTGGTTTTAGTGGAGGTATGTGGCATATATTTATATCGTTAAAACAACTAGACATTTGTTTTCAGTGAAAGCTCTAATTTATACATCTGAAAATAGGAACGGTAACAAGAGCAATTAAAAAAAAAATCCCCATTAAATAAGCCTATGAAAAGATGTTCAATGTCTTTAGGTTAATGCAAATCAAAATCATGAGATACCGCTTCATACACACAACACACTAGGATGGTTACTAGCAGAAAAAGGTAAAAAGCATCAAGTGTTGACTGGGATGTGGAAAAGTCAGAATCCTCATACATTACTGATGGCTCAGGCACTGTGGAAAATAGTTTGGCAGTTCCTCAAAAATAGAATTACCATAGAATTAAGCATAGACTGCTCACAGTTAAACATAGCAATTCCACTCGGGTGTATTTGTTGTTGTTGTTAAGTGCCGTCGAGTCGGTTCTGACCCATAGCGACCCTGTACAGGGTTTCCAAGGGTGTAAATCCTTACGGGAGTAGAAAGCCTCATCTTTCTCCCGCAGAGCGGCTGGTAGTTTCGAACCGCTGACCTTAAGGTTCGCAGCCCGATTCATAACCACTACGCTACCAGAGCTCCTTGATACTCTTGGGTGTATATATCCAAGAGAACTGAAAGGAAGAACTCAGATACTTGTACACCAATGTTCATTGCAGCATTATTCACAACAGCCCCAAAGTGGAAACAACCCAAGTGTCCATCAACAAATGAATGGATAAATAAAATGTAGTATCTCCACACAATGGACTATTATTTAGCATAAATAGAAATCAAATTCTTATACGATACACTATAATATAGTGAACCTTGAAAATATGATGAGTGAAATAAGCCAGACACAAAAAGAAAATATGATGTGATCCCATTTACTTGAAATACCTTAAATAGGCAAATATGTAGAGCTAGAGAGTAGATCAATGGTCACTATGAGCTGGGGGGTAGGGGTGACTGCTTATTGGCTGTAGAGTTTCTGTTCGGGATGATAAAAAATGTTTTTGGAACCAAATACTGATGGTTGCACAACATAGTGTGACTAATGGCACTAAATTGGACACTTGAAAATAGTTAAAATGGTAGATTTTATGTCATGTATATTTTACTATGGAGCCCTGCTGTGGCACTGTAGGGTAAGTACTCATAAACACAGTCTGTTTGAATAACAAGGTCAGTGATTCAAACCCACCAGTTGCTCCTTGGAAACCCTGTACAGGGTCGCTATGAGTTGGAACCGACCCCACGACACATAACCACCATCAATATTATAGGAAGAAGCTCTGGTAGCATAGTGGTTATGAATTGGACTGCTAACCTCAAGGTCAGCAATTCGAAACTACCATGGGAGAAAGATGAGGCTTTCTGCTCATGAAAAGATTTATAGCCTCAGGAACCTTATATACCCAAGGAGTCCTAGTGTGGTGCTATGGGTACACTGGATTGCAAGAGGTTTGAACCTCAAGGTCAGTGGTTCAAATTCACTAGCAGCTTCTTGGAAATCCTATAT